TGTCTCATTGTTATGGGAGATGAAAATTTAATTTTCTTGCACCACTAGACGTTCCTAACTCCTTTCCCTTCATCTTCTCAAAGAGTGGTGATGCTTACTTTCACTGCTTAGTTAACTGCTGTAATTGTCCCCTTTCTTGGACAACTGTTTGATCTTACTGAGTTTATAGTTCCCTCATTGTTACATGTAGTAGGGATAGTGCCTTGAAATCTAGGCAAATGTATGTTAAGTTTGGAATTGAGAGGAAAGGTCCAGTCTGTGATATAAATTGTGGAGTGTCAGTGTGTATGTGAAATGTAAAGCCATGTCACTAAGGGAAAGCACCAAGGAAGTGATTGGAGATTGAGAAAAGAAGTAGTTCACTGCTGTATTTGGAGGTCAGAGAGAAGAAAAGAAACCAGCAATGAAGATTGAAGAGTGGCTAGAGAGAGAGAAAAACCGGAAGAGTGTTCATGAAAAAGATCTATTAGGTCAAGTCAGATGAGGACTTAGAAATGACCATTGGCTTTAACAACATGGAGATTATTGGTTTTAATGAAAAGCATTTTGGTGGAATTGTGTATGTGTATGGGGTTAACAACAACAAAACTTGATTTGAACAAATCCAAGAAATGGAAAGAGAAACAACTAAAGACAACACGTATAACTAACTTTCAAGGAGTTTTGCTATAAAGGAAAAGAAAGAGATGAAACTGGTGAGGAAGAATCCTATCTCCAGAAGAAATTCAATAGGTTTAGAATATGATACTTGTGGTGATTGACAGTGGAGATGGTGAGGGAGGTCTCAGGCATTTAGGGTGAAGTTTCCTTCTACCTTGAACAGATGGCTTTAAACAGCCTAAATTCTTAAAAGTTTTCCACTGATACCTAATTTCCATCCTAAGAGGGTTAGAACTTTGAGGCTGTGTCTTAATTCATTTCTCTAAAGAAATCAAACTATGGACTTTGGGTGTTGTTGTTGTTGTTGTTATGTGTCGTCGAGTTGGCCCCGACTCATAGCAACCCCTCCTTGGGTTTCCGAGGCAGTATCACTACGGAAGTAGGATTGCCTAACCTTCCTTCCGAGGAGTGGCTGGTGGGTTTGAACCGCCAGCCGTCTGGTTAGCAGGCAAGGGACTTTGGGTGTAGTCTGAGGTAAATCCTGGCCAAATGGCTTTTTTTTTTTTTAATTGGGTATAGAAAGCCTAAAGGGGATAAGCTGAAGATTTTACCTAGTTAAGGAGTCAAAGGTTCAAACCAAGACTGAAGGGATAATGTAAACCCAAGAGTTTGGAGGCCTAGGACAGGTAGTTAATATGCTTTATTGAGGGTAGATTTTAAACCATGTCTTGGTGAGAGGAAGGTAAGTATTAAAACTGAGATACGAGAGTAAAGACCTTGCGAGTTGGAATGGGATAGTGAGAAGAAAGGAGTGGTTAGGAAATGCATTGGATAATGCTGCTGCTTCTCTTTACATGATAAGCATATTCCCACTCCAGTACCCCTTCCGGAAGTTTATGGGCAGGGACTTTTTTTTAGTCTTTTTTCTCTTCCTGGATCCTCAAAATATTTGCATAAAAAATAATTCCTTTGTGGGAAAAAGTTAATTCCTTAAATATTTTGACGTTTTAATTGGCGGAATATACATACTATGACCCATCTGCCTGGTGTGAGAAATCTATCCTAGTGGTACAGACCAAACCATTATTCATTAGAACCAAGATTAGCAAATGTTTTCTGAAGCTTGATTTATCTTCAGATATGTTAATATACTTTGGGCATTTTTCATTATTAAATGTTCACTATCAGTTGAGACTTGAATATATACCTTTTTTTGTGTTTCTGTTTCATCATTGAGAAACTGAGTCTTGAAAGGTAAATGGAAGTTTATCGGGAAAAGAAGATTGGGATGAGGAGAGGTTTTCAATGGCGTATACTATGTGAGAGGAGCTATTGTAGCATAGTGCCTAAGGCACTTGACTGCTAACCAGAAGGCTGGTGGTTCAAACCCACCAGCCACTCCTCTCGGAAGGAAGGTTGGGCAGTCTACTTCTGTAGTGGTACTGCCTCGGCAACCCAAGGAGGGGTCACTATGAGTCAGGTCCTACTCGAAGGCACATAACAATAACAACATACTATGTGAGAGACATGATAAGCTTTAGGAGAAATTTAATACCCTGGTTTTCCATGTCTTGGTAAAAATATCATCTCAGACTCTTGTTCATCATTTGATACTAAATTTTTTTTGTTCTCATTTAAAAATAAAAATATTCCCCCTTAGAAATTTTAATCATGTTAAATAATTATTCCATAATCTGAAATTTTGGGGATTCATTTTGGCTTGGGTTTGCACTCACATTAGTTGGGTAATTTTTTTGTGTGCTATTTAATGTTTTAAAAATTTGAATAGTGAGGGCTTTATTCAATAGGGCTTTATTGGTAGAAGTCCTCTGTGGTCTGGTAAAAGGATTTATACCTGCAGGCAGTTACTACATTTGCTGGTTACTACTTTTTATATAAATTTGAATCCTCCAACTTAAGTGAGGCAAAAGGCTGGTATCAGAAATTTCTTCATGGTGTCTCTGCTGCTGCTAATGAGCAGGTTTTTTTTTTTTCTTCTAGGTGACTCTTACTAAGGTTATAATTGTGTCAGTTACACAGGTGTGGGGCCCATGTTCAGGAAGCAGTTTGGCCTTTGGTCCTGGTTCATGAGAGCTTGACCACACCTGAGGCCAATAAGTGGGGCTGCTTAGACCAAGAGGGATCACCTTGGGGCCCAGTGCTGATAAGCTTCAGGAGGCATAATGTCATATATCATGGCCACATGGTGAGGCCAGTAAAAGGGCTTGGAAGGCAAGGCTTACTGGATCTTCTTGCGTGGATAGAGTGAACATCTGCTCTCAAAAGAGTAAGCATGTAACCTGGGGAGGGAAGCTCTACACCTTTCCAGACCTTTCCCTTTATGTTTATATTCTTTCTGTTTGTTTGTTTGGTTAAAGATAGCACCTTTCCTTGTGAGTCCTTTCAATGAATTTTCATACTTACGAAACAGGAGGGGCCAGAACCCACTGAGTTAACCCTGGGTGAATGGAGATAAGTGAGAAAGAGCTGCATAGAGCAACTGGAGTCTGGATTAACCAGATAAAGGAAGTTGAGATTTCCTTGGACTGGTTTGATACAGTTGGCGCAAGAGCAGGGTTGGTTATAACCCTCACTGCTCACTAGGTTTCAGGCACACGTCTTGGTTCCAGTATTCCATCTTGTAAAGGCCCGGCGTCTTCCTTACGCTCTGGTTTTCAGTTCCCTCTTTGTTTTTGGCCCTCTCTTTCTTGAAAACGTATTGGAATTACACACTATTTCAGTTTGTTGTGGCTACTCTATTGCTGAGATTAGATGACTCAATCCTGGTAATAGAGTAGATTTACTTTAGTTTCTTTTCTAAATGGAGATACTAGACTTTTTTTCTCCTCACTTTGCTTTTTGCTATTAAGGTTATTGCCTTCTAAGTGAATGGGCTGTTTTGACAGTCATCCATGGAAGGTTATGCCAGTCACACAGCAACTTCAGAAGTCTCACGTAGAATGTTTAAGAATGTGTGCTAGAACTGAGTGTTACTGTTGGAATTTAAAGTCCCTCCCATAATGTCTTGAACCTTGTTTAATTTGTAGCTCATGCATTTGTCTTGATTGACTTTTTGCTTTAAAGTTACTCTTTTCCTTTTCTGATAGCTTTTATTCACTCTGCCAAATAAGCCATATCAAACAAACCAAAAGAGTTGCTGTCAAGTCATTTCTAACTTATAACAACCCTATGTGTATCCGAGTAGAACTGTACTCTATGGGGTTTTCAGTGCCAGAGTTTTTGGGGAAATAGATCACAAGGCCTTTCTTTCAGGGTGCCTCCAGGTAGATTTGAACTACCAACCTTTCAGTTTGTAGCCAAGCCCACTTGCACCACTCGGGGACTTCTAAATAAGCCATACAGGGGGTTACTTTTAAAGAGTTGGTACTTTTGATCTTTGCCATATACTTTAGGAATTACTGAGTTAATACATTCTGTTCTTTTTATATTTTTCCCTTTCTAAAACAATGGTTGAATTTTGTTAACAATTTTATTTCCTAATGTAAACTTGTAATGCTATAAATCACCCTCTAAATGATGCTTTAACTGCATCACACAAATTTTTAATGTAATATGCATTTACTTTCATTCAGTTCAAAATTTTTTCTTTGTAATTGCTTCTTTGGCCCATAATTTCTCATTTGATCCTAAATATATGGAAAAATTTCCAGATACCTTTCTGTTATTTTCTAATTTTGTTGTGTTAGAGAACATACTTTGTATTTCATTACTCTTAAGTGTATTAAAGTTTCTTTTATGGCTTGTATGTTTTATTTCAATTAAGTATGCATTTGTAAAGAATATGTATTGTTGCTGGATAAAGAGTTATATAAATGTTAATTAGATAAAATTGGTTAATAGTGTTGTTCAAGTTCTCTATATCATTATTGATTTTCTGTCTACTTGTTTTTATTAAATATGGAGAAAGAGATGTTAATCTCCAACTGTGATTGTGGTTTTATCTATTTCTATTACAGTTCTCTTCTTCATATAGTTTGAACTCTGTTTAGTGCTTAAACATTTAGTATTTTTATGTCTTCTGGATGATTTTACCCCTTTATCATTATGAAATGACTCTCTTTATCCCTGGGAATATTCTTTTGGTCTACAATGTAATGAAACTTATGTTTTTTTTTTTTTTCCTTACTAGAAAATGTCTTTTTATTCTTACATATTCAAATAATAGATAGATTAAAATTGACTTTATTTCCTTATTTGTAAAAATCTTGTTCTTTGTATAGCTATTACATATGCCATCCTGGATCTTATATTCAGGTTTAAAATTGGACACGTTTGCTGATAATTGCATTATTTAGTGATGATCCATAGCCAAACAAACAAATTTTAAAAATGTAAGCATTTTTACTCCAATTAATTTTATCTTTTTTTCTGTGTTGTAGGGATAGACTTTAAGATCAAAACAGTTGAATTACAAGGAAAGAAGATCAAGCTACAGATATGGTAAGTGATACACATTTACTAATTTTTGTGTACTGGACTGTCAGATTCCTGAAGGTTTGGCATAAAATTCTTCTTTGTCATCTATTTAGACTCTTTGAGACTTGCCATTCTAAAGTCAACAGTTAGGTGACATTCTTTTGGTGAAGTAAAAAATTATTGCCATGGACTTTGGAGTCCATTAGGTCTGGCTGAAAAGTTTTACCTCAACACTTACTGTGTGAACTTGAGCAGGTTACCTACTCTCTGTGAGCTTCTTATATCTTCATATGTAAAATGGAGATAATGTCACCTATCTCAGAAGATTGTTCCAGGAAATAATGTACAAAAAGCCTTTATTTAGAAGAATGTTTTGCTCACAGACACACAGTATAAAATGTCTTAAGCAGACTATTTAATGTGTTTATAACTTTCTATAGGCATTGTTCTTTTTATTAGTTTGTATAGGTTTTCACTGTATAAACTCACTAAACTCACTGCTGTTGAATCAAACCTGACTCATAGTGACCCTCGGATTTCTGAGGTGGTATCTCTCTGGAAGTAGATTACACAGTCTTTCTTCTGAGGAGTAGCTGGTGGTTTTGAACCGCTAGCCTTCTGGTTAGCAGTCAAATGCCTTAGACGCTGTGCCACCAGAGCTCCCTTTCACTGCATAGAAGTACAATAAAATTCTTTAAATTTGTATTCAAGTCTATGTTGCAGACTATTTAAAATTGTAGTAGTAATATTTTCCAGTGACTATTACGTGTCTTAGGAGCTCTGGTAGCATAGTGCTTAAGGCACTCACCAGAAGGCTGGCGGTTCAACCCACCAGCCACTCCTCGGAAGGAAGGTTGGGCAATCCTACTTCCATAGTGATACTTCCTCGGAAACCGGTTTCAAGGAGAGGTCGCTATGAGTCGGGCTGACTCGACGGCAAACAACAACAACATCATTACGTGTCTTAATTGTATTACATGTATTAACGCATTACATGCTCATGATGATCCTATAAGGAATGTGTTAACCACTTTATTCAGTATAAGTAACATACAAAAATCTGTACATATTTACTGAAGTGTCCAATTTAGTAAGTTTTGACATATGCATAAACCTGTGAAACCTCACAACAATCAATCAACATAATGACCAAGGCTGTCGCCTCAGAAGTTTTCCTCAGGCCCCCTTCTAATCCTCCTCCTCTACGGGTAACCACTGATTTGCTTTCTGTTATTGTAGATTAACTTTCATTTTCTGTGTCCTTTATATAAATGAAATAATACAGTGTGTTCTTTTTGTCTTCCTTTTTTGGGGGGGGTAGGAGGGAGTCTGACTTTTTATACTCAGCACAGTTATTTTGAAAATCATCAGTGATTGCATGTGTACCATACTTTTTTATTGCTGAGTAGGATTCCACTGTTAGGGTATACCATAGTGATCTATTGTTCCTAGTTTTGAAGTATTAATAAAGCTGCTATGAATATTCCTATATACATCTTTGAATGGGTAATTATGCCTGTTTTAGAGATCGTGAAACAGAAGCATTTTTAAATAATTTAACCAAGTTCTCATTGCCTGTAAGTGGCAGGACTGGGATGGAGACATCCTCAGAATATAGGCTCCAGAGTGGCATTCTTAATTGCTGTACTGCCTTTCATAAATGGTGCAGTTTTTCAGTTCATTTTGTGGCTCTTTTCAGTTACTGTCATTTTTCTTACTTCATTTGTCTTAGATCTGAATTCATGTTGCCTCAGATTTTAATGTAATAGGACTTATCACAGGGTGGTGATGAGGATGAGTGATACACGTAAAGTACTTAGAACAGTGCCAGCCTCATAATTAATGCTCAATAAGTTGTAGCTACTATTATTTGGAAATTTCCATTCTAAGGGTATAACCCTAAGAATAATAAACATTTTATTTTAGGGGATGAACAGAGGAGGAAGTTAGCAAGCAACAAAGAGTACAAAGCTGTGCTTAGAGAATAAGAAGGAAAATGAGCAAAGAACAATGTCCCAGAACCCAAAAGAAAACAGTTTTTTTTTTTTTTTTAAAGAACTATAGCATTCCCTTTTAAGGAAGCTAATAATTGGAATTAAGATATGTTTAACCAGAATGTTTTCATTACCTGACGGTGTAGTTACAAGTTATAATCTTAATCCATAATATCTTTCAAATGTAATATGTTGTTGTTGTTATGTGCTGTTGAGTCGGACCTGACTCATAGCGACCCCGCTTTGGGTTTCCGAGGCAGTATCACTATGGAAGTAGATTGCCCCATCTTCCTTCCGAGGAGTGGCTGGTGGGTTTGAACTGCCAGCTTTCTGGTTAGCAGTTAAGTGCCTTAGGCACTATGCTACCAGAGCTCCCAAATGTAATATAGATTTAAGTAAAATTAGCTATTGTAAAGCGTTTCATAAGACTAGTGATTCTCTGAAACAAAATCCACTTAATGATCGTTAATTTTTATTAATTTTAGCTGGGAAATAATTCAGCACCTGAACTGTGGTTGTGGTACATTTTTTTGTTTCATTATAATTAAGACTGATCTTACAGGAAAGGTTGTCAAAATTTTATTATTTTGAATTTCAGTCAGGTTCTTTTACCCACCCCTCCCCTTTTAAAGTCTTACACATTGTGGCAGACCTCAGCCCTACATATGATGGTCTGTGTTCCAAGCCTCCTAAGTTCTGTCACTTTTATTGGTTCTCACCTCAGCTGTATCCTTCTCTGTACACACATTAGGCCAATAATTTTAAAACTTTTTTTGACAGCAAAAGATAAATTTTACTTTGTGGTTTAGTATGCATGTTGTTGTTATGTGCCGTTGAGTTGGACTCAACTCATAGCAACCCCTCCTTGGGTGTCTGAGGCGGTTATCACTATGTAAGTAGATTGCCCAACCTTCCTTCTGAGGAATGGCTGATGGGTTTGAACTGCCAGCCTTCTGGTTAACAGTCAAGCGCCTTAGGCACTACGCTACTGGAGCTCCTTTATAGACCAATATATATTTTTGAGCTATATAGTATGGATTACATCTCAACATAAAGAAAACAAAAATCCTCACAACTGGACCAGTGAGCAGCATCACAATAAATGGAGAGAAGATTGAGGTTGTCAAGGAATTCATGTTGCTTGGTTCTACAGTCGATGCCAACGGAAGCAGCAGTCAGGACATTAGACGATGTGTAGCATTGGGAAAGTCAACTGCGAAGGAACTGTTTCAAGTGCTGAGGAGCAAGGATATCTCATTGAGGACTAAGGTGCACCTGACACAAGCCATGATATTTCCAATTGCCTGGTATGCATGTGAGAGCTGGATAATGAATAAGGAAGACCGAAGAAGAGTTGATGCTTTTGAGTTGTGGTGCTGGCGGAGAATGCTGAAAGTACCATGGACTGCTAAAAGAACTAACAGATCTGTCCTGGAGGAAGTGCAGCCAGAATGCTCCTTGGAAGCAAGAATGGCCAGACTTCGTCTCACCTATTTTGGTCATGTTGTAAGAAGGGACCATTCCCTGGAGAAGGATGTCATGCTTGGTAGGATGGAGGGTCGACGAAAGAGGGGGAGGCCTTCAACGAGATGGATTGATACGGTGGCTGCGATGATGGGATCAAGTATAGCAGGGATTGTGGGGCTGGCACGGGATCGGGCAGTGTTTCGTTCTGCTGTGCATGGGGTTGCTATGAGTCGGAAGCGACTCGACGGCACTTAACAACAACAACAACAATATATATTTTTATATATTTAATATATAAAATCTCTGCCCTGCTAAATTTGTCCTGTTCCTCAATCTACTCTCCCTCTTCCACATATTTTCTCTTCTTCTATTCCTTAACCTTGTGGGTTTAAAAAATTTTTCCTCTTACCATCATTTTAATCCTTGTGCATCTCAAACAGTGACAAATAATTACCACTTGTATTTGAAAAGGGAGCAGCCCTCAAAAATGCTCTTTTGGAACAGTAAGTTCTGTAGCATGATCTTTAAGATTAATATAAAAAGAGTTCTACTGTACAGGTAAAACTGAAGCGCACCTACTCTTCACTTATCAACTATCCATTAGCCAACATTTTGCATTTATAACAGTGGTCAAACAATCTATCTAACTATTTTCTACATTAACAACATACATCTGGCAGTAACCAGTGCTGAGATGAGTCAAGAATGATGGTGGCTGTGGTGATAAGATGATGTGTCAAGTTGGTTGGGCCGTGATTCTCAGTGGTTCTACAGTTATGTAATGATATAAACTGGCAGTTATGTAATGATGTAGTCATCCTCCATTTTGTGATCTAATATGGTCATTTTCCAGTTTTGCATAATGTACATTTTCCCATACTGCTGATTAGGTTCTTTGGAATCTAATCATGTTGATAAGTGAGGAGTGGGTGTACATCAAAGTAATGATAACATTTCTTATTTAGTTGTTTATGTTTTAGTCTTTTTAAATAGGCTCTCTCTTAGGTAAACACTTAAAAGGAAAATTTTGTTTATTTAGATTTTCACTTACACAGTTGACTTCTTTTAATTTGAAATAATGCATTTTCCTGTGAAGATCACGAATGAGTGACTGGTTAAATTTTGTAATTAATAGTTATTCAGAGATGTAGTGGCTTGCATGTTGCTGTGAGGCTGGAGGCTGTGTCACCAGTATTTCAAATACCAGCAGGGTCACCCATGGTGGACAGGTTTCAGTGGAGCTGTCAGATGAAGACAAACTGGGAAAAGAATGGGGCTATCCACTTCTGAAAAAACTGATTACTGAAAATCTTATGAATAGTGTGAAATATTATAATAGTGTGAAACACTATCTGATATATTACTGAGAAATTTTATGAAGAGCCATGAAACATTGTCTGATACAGTGCCCAAAGATGAGCCCCTCAGGTTGGAAGGCACTCAAAATATGATTGAGGAAGAGCTGCCTCCTCAAAGTAGAGTCGACCTTAATGATACGGATGGAATAAAGCTTTCCAGACCTTCATCTGCTGTTGGGCCACAACTCAGAATGGGAAAAAACAG